ATAAAAATTATAATATTTTCATATAAATCTCTCTGTTATTAACTTACATTTTGCTTTTAAAAGAAATTTTTACGTTATATAAAGATACAATAGTAAAGAGAAAAAGATATAAATTACTCGCATATCGAAAAGGTAATCACACGGGTTTATCGGGCCAACGTCAGCTGCGGTACGAGAGTCCTCGGCGTCCATCGCCGTCGTGTGAACACGCGACGATGATGATGAGGAAGCCAATACCGGTCGCAGACGTTGACCCACTGAAGAACTGGTTCCGCTTCCCCTTGAACCTCCTCGACTGAGGAGGATCAGGAGGAGAGTGCCGGGGATATTGAAAGATTGGTAGAGAGACACAGATAAAGAGCGAGAGAGAGAAAGAGAGAGATCCCACCGCACGAGATTTTTGACATACTTTCCATCTTGGTACTTCGCCTTGACCTTCGGCGCTATCCCACTTTAAAAGTACTACGCGTCTCCATATTTGGCGCGATGTGATTTACGGAGGACTATTATTATCGAATTTACAATGATTAACCTACGTATACGTCTTGTATTTTAGCATCTGCTTATCTACATATGAGTTGCTCTTACTGTTATTCGATGATTAATTTCGACATGGAAAAAAAGCAAAATTAACATTTTATACAAATTAATTCAAGAAATTATATATTATATCATTTATAAATGCATACTCACATAGATTATCTTGATACAGTCGTATTATGATATTATAATTTAAAAAAATTTCAAATATTTTTTACATTAATTTTATCAATATTGTATTAAATTTTTAAATTTTTTAACCATCTTTAATTTATCGATATTACATGATATTATTGCCTTTTAACTCAATTTGAGCGAACGGTTTCTCCTTGTTTTAAATTGGCATCTTTATCAAGTATATATAATTATAAGACAGCTATAAAAAGGAATGTATGTGAAACAGGTATGCATTTCTTGCATAAACAAATTACTATACAGCATTTATAATTTTTTAGTTGTCTGATAAAAATACGTATCTTAATAGTACATCACCAAATAGGATAATTGAAAGGCTTCATGGAGCAAAACCGTATATTTAAACATGTGATGTCGTGATGTGTTCAGATTCCCGTTCTCCACAGAAGTGTAAAGAGAGAATAATAATAGCATTAACCTTCGCGGCCCGTATTCATATTCTACATTTAGCGATAAATAAATACGTGAATATATACGTTTTATTTTATACAAAAGCAAAAAAGTTTTAAACAGCTAATTTATGATAATTAATAATAATATTATAATTAAAGAGTCTATCAGCACATGTATATAAAAAAATTTTTTTTTATCAAAAGCACATTTTTAAGCATTTATTATTCATTAACGCAAAATACAAATAAAATTAATGTAATTTTAAATCACACTTATATACGTACAATGAAATCTTGATTATAAGAATTATATATTAAAAAGCTATTTAAAAAAATATACCGATGATTGAAATATACAAGAGCGTTCATCGCCGAATTTTATGTAAAAAATGTTTGATATGTTACAGAAAAAGCGCAGAAGATCTTAGGACCTCTGATGCTCGCCGTAGCCCTGAAAGCGGCCGCTTTATTGCCGCTGGCTCTCGGTGCGATTGCCCTGATAGCTGGTAAAGCCCTGCTCGTTGGCAAGATCGCCCTCGTGATCTCTGCCATTATCGGACTGAAGAAGCTCCTCGGCTCTCACCAAAAGCACGTGACCTACGAGGTAGTTTCGCATCCGCATCACAGCAGCAGTCACGTTGTCAGCCACGACGACGGTGGCCACGGCGGTGGTGGTTACGGCGGTGGTGGTGACTATGGTGGTGGATACGGCAGCAGCGGACACGGATGGGCCAGAAGTTTACCGCAGGACGCCCATGAAATCGCCTATCGCGCCCACCAACCCCAGGCATAAGCTTAATCGATACCATAGAAAGTTTCTCCATCTTGTTTTTTTGCATTTCTCTCCAACGATTCGATGTTCCCTTTCGTTCCACTTGCGTCCGCTTCACTCTCTTTCTCTCACTCACACATTTCTTCATTATCTCCTTCCTCTCTTGCTTATGCTACCGTCATGTACAAAAATACCTAGTCTATCTTATATTCGAAGAAAAATTTCCGATACCTGCCTTCAGCTCTTCCGCGATATATGCTATTTTAACTGTAAAATTATGGAACTTGAAATCTCTCCGAATCTCTTTCTATCCTTTTTTTTATGTTTATATAATCTTCTATATTTTGATTCTCTTCTTTTTCTTCTATTTGCTTTATTTATACATAACGGTCGATTTATTCTGCGGCCAGTCACCAGTACCTCTGGAAAATGCTCATTGTTTTATGTATGTATATTTTACGCGAACTCGTTATTTATTCGTTACATCTTATATTAATATTTATTTGATGTTTGACTGTGTGCTTCCATTATAACATTTCCTGTTTTCTTTTATAATAAAAAGACGACAAATAGACGCCTCAAGTTTTGTCCCAATAAAAGAGACTTCAATGCCTGCAGCCTGCGTCGATGAGAATCCAACGTTTCCTTCGGTTCTCGTAAGAGTGACCACTGTCCATGACCGAGTACTTCTATTTATACAACACTGCACTTGCACTCGTAATCGTAAGGCGTAACGTAAGACCGTGAAATACGCTCTATTGAGTTCGAAACAGCGATCGCGCACCGGATGCAGCCATGTACCACATTTTCCGTACATAAATAGATACGTAATGGAAATAAAATAAAGCTCACCATGCATGAGCGAAAGTAGTCGAGGAACGCACAACACGGCCGCTTTATTGCTCAGAAATGCGAATTATATATATAATATATACGAAATTGTGAGTAATTTATACAATTTACGATATATATGGAAATATTTTACGTCTTCGGAGCTCTCTTCGCATTTCTCACATAGTGTTCTTTCATTTTATTATTATTATCAAGTATTTAGGGAATCTCAAAATAATTTCTTCGAGAACTGGAACAAAGAGATAATAATATATTAAATCTAAATTAAATCTACATTATTTTATACATTATATATTAGTTAAATATACACATGTATTAGATAAATAGTGTTCTTTATTATTATCAAGTATTTAGGGAATCTCAAAATAATTTCTTCGAGAACTGGAACAAAGAGATAATAATATATTAAATCTATTAAATCTAAACATTATTTTATACATTATATATTAGTTAAATATACACATGTATTAGATAAATATATATA